AATGATAATGGGACACATCGACGTCTGCACTCACAGTGCCGCGGACTGTAGGCTACGTAATTTTACTTTGATCCGGTTACTTACGTTGTGGCAGATATTTAATTAAGCTTTCTTAACATAATAGTATAATAATGTGAACATTAATAGAATATCACCTCCGATCTTCAGAGCAATCTGACTATTATAACATTCGCGTTAAGAAAGCTTACTTAAATATCTGTCACAACATAAGTAAACGGATCAGAGTAACATTAAGTACAGTCCGCGGCATATCACATCATAATGTATCATATATCTCCTTATCTGAGTCAGCTGAGCCGTATCTGGCCGTGCAACACTCACAGTGTCACATACTGGATGCAGAAGGATTATTTGAAGCAACACATTAAGTTGAGGAAACACTCGAGTCAAATGTAATGAAAGTCAGATGGTGTCTTAGACGGGGCAGTGATATCATAAACCTGTTAATGTACGCATTCAAACACTTGTTCTGTTACCAGCTGTATTCACCTTGCAGGTGCAGCTATGTGGCTTTGATCCTGGATCAAGTGTTTAAGTCATGGATGTTTAAAGTTTAACTTCTTCATATGTCTAATATTATAGTTGACTTTTCATTCAGGAAGTATGACGCTGCGCTGTCAGTACGCTTCTCCATGTTTGTGGTTGGTTGAATGCTCCAAATACCACCCCTTTCATGTGAAGGCGCACTAGATAGGACACGGCTGGCTTGAGCGATCCACTTGATAACCCGCGTCGTAGTACAGTTGAGCGAGAGCGCGTATGTTTTGGATTAGGCCAACCGGCTAACTCAAACATATCCAGGTTAGGTTGAACCAGCTTCGTAGTATACCCCCCAGGTCTGTATGCGCATGTTTTTATTTGATTGTATTTAGTTTTAAATGAAATGTGTCTTTAGGTTGACTTGATCTGTCCAGGGACTAAGATGAAAAAGAGCCTCTTGGCACATGTACAGAAATGTTGATCAGTGTTCACCGTCCCCGTTAAAGAAATAGAATAATACATTTAAACGGTGGTAAACACAAACACCTTTTATAATGCTACACCCTTTACAGAAATACAAACTCAAAAGTGTGGCATAGAACACTGTAGGAGCCAAGTGACGAAACGGTTTCAACATCGTCTGGTAAGAAACCTTCATTTGTGTTTAAAGACGAGAACAGTGAAGAAAAGGAAACCATAACATAAACCAAAAACATATCTCTGAGTGACGTGTCAGCGCGTCGGCCAGGCGCTAAAACCAAAGAACAGGAAAGAGCTAAAGGCTGCTCTTTAAACCCTTTATAGTGTAACACATGCCTCTTTTATACTGTGGGAGATCACAGCATTTAAACTGGGGAATACACACAGAAACAACAACCTTTATACCGCCCAAAATACACCATTTCCAACTTAAAGATGACACTATATTCCACCTTCTGCTGACCAGTGCTGATGGGTCGTCCACGGAAACTCCACTCTATCCAGATCTATGAAAGTTAACCCTATACTTGATCCCAAACACCGGATCGACTGAGGTCACACCAGCAGACCATCTGGATCTCATTTGAGATGTTTCCAGCTGTTTATTACATATTTATGTCCCAGTACACAGAGCTCACTGATTCAGGCGTTTTATCAGTAAACGCTGCCAAAACTAGATGTTTTCTGACGTCTAAAGGAACACAGATTCAAAATGTGTTTTTAAGTAGACATGGCGTAATATTGGAAATGTTTCAGCACAAAACACCACACACACTAATATTTGTCTTTCTGTGGTTTTGGACTAAGACAGAGAGAGACGTCAGAGAAGTATGATGTAAACGAGAAGAAATCAGCAGTAAAAATGTAAACGCTGGTCGGCTGCAGATAAATCAAATAAAGCATTAATCTAAACAGACCAGAGGGCCATTTGCTCTCACTTTACTGCGTTTAGCCATCATTTGATTCTGTTTAATGATTTCAACACGTCTTCTCTGGGTTTTATAGAAAACTACTGACTTCATTGTCTTTTGAGCCTGTGTTATAGATAGTGCCAGGAACCAGTTATATTTGACTAAAAGCCTATTTAAGTTCGTATTTACTCCTCTAACACGTTCTAGTATATATCACTTTGTGTCTTTGTACTAATTGTAATTGCCTAACAGCTCTGAGTGTTTGTAATAGTGCTTTAACTGTTTTTATGGTAAACAAATCTAGGTTTATATACTTGTACAAAACATCACAGAATTCTGGGATAAACTAAGTTTTATTCAATAGAAATGTGCAGGAGGGACCCAGCCAGCATCGAGTCACATAACACCAACAATTAACACACAGGAAGATTTCCCTGATCATTGCCCAGCTAAAGGATCAAAACAGACACAACAAGGACAACAATGACTAAAATAACATACCAATAAATTAAAAAAAACACAAAATGAATAAATAATTCACAAAATAATCAAAGAGATAAAATTACTAAAAACAGACAGAAAAAGACCAGAAATGGACAACAATTACAACAAAAAACACAAAATGAATTATTATAAAAGACACACAATAACAAAACACAGACAGAAACTGATCAAAAAGAGAGACAAACGTGAAACAAAACAAAAACACATGAAAATCACAACACTAGCCTGTTAGCTTTGTGTTAGCATCTGTTGTGCTAACTGCTACCTAACGTTAACCTAAGTTACTAAACACAAAGTTAGCATGCTAACAAACTGCACATTTGGGTAAAATACCACATTTAACCTGAAAATGTGGATTCAGAGGAGGCTAGGGAGAGAAACGGGATGTTTTCCAGCTAATGTGGCTAACACAGGCTACTTGTGGTTTTATTTTCCCGGAGCTCCAGGAGCAAAACAGGCGAAAAGCACGCATAGCATAGTGGGCTAACAGTTAGCTCCTCTCGGACCCGGAGAAAGGGCCTCGAGCCCGGACACCTCTGCAGAGAAACCCCGCTGAAAAACACTGCTCCTGTGGGGCTTTAAACCACACTTTTACCCGGAAACCCTGAAAGAAAGCGGCGTGTTTAGCAGGGACTCACCTCGTATGAGAATACAGAAACTACACAACAACAGGCTCCGCAGCACGACACCCATCTTTCTCCCTAGTCGTGGCCCAGCAAGGCGCTCTATTCTCGGCCTCAGCGCAGAGCTCTCATCGCTGCTGCTGCCGGTTCCTCTGGGTCACACAATCCAAGGGGTTTTTTGCAACTAAATTGTGATTTTCACTACACAAAAAGGGTGTTAAATGATCCCCAGTGGTTCCATCCTGGCTGCTTTTGCTATAAGTGGATGCACTCTCACATTGTCCTGCAGGAGATCCTTCCGCTGTGAGGAAGCTGCTCCTCCTCCTCCTCCTCCTGCACCTCCACCTCCTCAGCCCTTCTCTATTGTTGTTCTGATTTCATGCAGGGTAGTGTTACAACAGCCTGGAAAACACCCCGTTGCATGGTGTTTAATGGGTTTTAGTGTGTGTGTTCTCCTGCTGTGGATTCACCCCCGGATCCTGGAGGAGAATCAGGCTGCAGGAAGGACCCTGAAGTTCGGCTTTAACACACACATTCCTGCGGGACTAGTTTATCATGGAGGCTCCGTTTAACCCGGGACAGAGGCTCACACACACCGACACACATTCAGACAAACACTGGGAACATCAAGCACTCAGAGAAAGGATTTTAAATGATAGAGATGTTGGATAAAGTAAGTTTTAACTTCGGGTAAAAGAGAGATAAAGTGATTAATAACAGACACATAATGACCAAAAAGATACACCAAATGAAATGTGCATATGTAAAAATGCATAAAATAATTAGTTTTAAAGAGACACTAAACGATCAGAAATGTACAGTCACAAAAAACCCTTTCACTGACAGGAGGATAAATCATGTTTGTCTCACTTTTTATAATTTGACTGGGATTTGTATACTTATTTGAAGTGCTTGTAATCGTGCATTAAACATATTTTATTGTGAACGAAATCAGTTGTATCTGTATAGAAAATCACAGATGTTGGATAAACTAAGTTGAACTAAGGCTGGAGCACGAAGTCTGAAGATAAACAAGTGACGACAGAATCATCCTCCCTTAGAAGACGTCCGAGAAACATTTTGTAGATTAATAAATCAGCAGAGAACGTGTAAACAAACGTCAGCTCCAGATTAATACTTGATGGAATCTAAACAATAAGAAATATGTTCATTTAATCACAATTTACTGTGTTTAGGTCTGATGACAGACCAAACAGATGGGAAATGACCAAAAAGACAGAATATGATCGAAAACAGACAAAAAATTAACAAAAAGACACAACATTATAATAAAGAGACACAAACTGATCAAAACGACAAAAAAAAATGCTCATTAATGCAAAAGGACCAAAAAGAGACAACGTGATCAAATAGACGTAAAATGACTTAAAAAAGAAATTATCAAAAAGGGACAAAATGATTATAAAAATACACATAATCAAAAACACACACAAAAAGACTAAAAATAGAGCGTTTCACTTCCTCCCTCTTTTATCAAATCTTTAAAAATGTGTCTGAATGATATCGTGTTGAGTTCAGGGTCCATCCCCAGAATCAGTGAAAAAAAGGCACAATCACGACGATCAAAAATCACATTTTTTTTAATCCTTACATGGACTGTATGCAGAAGCATCACGTCACAGACACCAAACTGTCACCATCGTGAGGTTATTAAGAACAGAGGAACATCAGCAGTGTGTGTGCACTCATCTTCATCATCGTCTTCATCAGTGTAGGAAAATAGTGCGTGGCCAGTGTACTCTTACTTATGAAAAACAATCTAATATTCAAAAAGAAGCATATCATATTTATCAAAAACACAGTTAGTGCATCGAAGAGCTGCAGCGCTCGCCTTCAGTCTGCAGCCACGTGATATATATATATATATATATGACCGACTGTGAGGTCAATTAAAGGTTCAAAACAGGAAAAAATATGGAGCCAGAGGGGGAAATATTCAGAGAAACAACGTTGGATTACTACCATTTAATTTGTGCATTTACGAGAAAAAAACACAATAAAAGCAAGATATTTTTCAAAATAAAAATTAGGTTTAAGTTTTAAATTTACGTGAAAAAACTGAGATTCTTTTTCTTTCAATTTCAGTTTTTTAAAAATAAAAGTTTTTTTTTAAAAACAGTTTAAAAATAATTTCCATCTAATTTTGTTCGTTATTTAGAAAATTTTTAATTTTTTTCTCAGAAATGTTGGTGATATTTTTATGTTAAATTTTCCATGTAAGTTAAAGGAAAACTTTCTATTAATATGTTTTTTTCTCGTAAATTAGTCTCAAAAATTTTCCACTAATCTCTAAAATGTTGAGTCTCTGAATTTAACTCCGGCTCCATTTCCGATATTTTTTAAACCTTCAAGAACCCGATTCAGCGCCATGTGGACAGAAAAGCAGCACAGTGCAGAGAGTCTGAAGCATGTGAGTACAAATACATGCAGGTGTCTATACACACAATAATAATAATAATAATAACCCGTGAAGAATGTACAGAGGCTTCCTGAGAGTCAGGGAATAAAAATATTGCTGTTTGTTTGTTCATCGCCGTCTCCACATAAACAAATACTTTTAATAATTAATAGTTAGAAATAAAAGTCTGATTAAAAGGTTTTCATTATTTTACTTAATTACCATGTTTTTATAATTATTCTAATACATGACTTTGTGATAAGATGTAACAAATCTTCTTAAAACATGAAACTCAGCAGAAGTTGTTAAATTGTGCACAAAATATATTAAAAAAGAGAGCGTTAAAGATGCGTTTGATTTGTCTTATAATGCATTTTTTGGACGAGCTAAACGTAGAGACATGATCTCCTTCTGGGGTTTTCCCGTTTACTGTATGATAAGATATTTATCGAAATAAAATTATACAATCGTGCCATCCATGAAAGTCCACAAATGATCATTTTCAAACAATGCAATTTGTTTATGGGTAATTTATGGAGGATTTATTCATATCAATAACTGATCGGGAAATAATAGTGACTCCAATAAGGTCATGTTTTTAGACCACACTCACTAAATCTAATGTCGTTTGTAATCATATTTTAGGGCAATGTGAATGAACTGAGGACATTCTGTTTGGCTATTATGAAATAATGCACAGCCTTCAGCCAATCAGGATTGTCCCTCACCCATTTGAATGATCATTATTTATAAACCTACGTTAGCCCTAATCAACGTCGTGAAGTGAGTTTTATTCTCAGTGTAACGCCTCTTCAGTTAAACACACGTTCTCTTAGTTTGTGCTGAACCATCAGATGAACGATCATTTCAAGTCTTTTAGTCCTTTTCGAGTCCCCGTCACATTCCGTACGTTCGTCGTTCGTAAATCCCAGCTAACAAATGTTGGTTAGCTTACGTATGTAGAAGCCAGATAAAGAACGTTTGTTAGCTAACGTTCGTAGATCTCAACAAACAACGTTTCTTAGCTAATGTAAAATCAACACCATCAGATGAACAATCATTTAAAGTATTTTCCGAGTCCCCGTCACATTTCGTACGTACGTCGTCCGTACATCCGAACGTTGGTGCCAGATATCAAACGTTCATTAGCTAAGGTTTGTGGATTTCAACAAACAAACGTTTCTTAGCCAACGTAAAATAAACACACCATCAGATGAACGCTCATTTAAAGTATTTTAGTCCTTTCAGAGTCGTACGCCGTTCGTACATCCAGGCTAACACATGTTGGTGAGCTCACGTATGTAGAAGCCGGATAACGAACGTTTGTTAGCTAACGTTCTTGGATCTCAACAAACAAACAAACGTTTCTTAGCTAAAGTAAAATCAAAACACCATCAGATGAACAATCATTTAAAGTCTTTTAGTACTTTCCAAGTTTCCGTCGTTCGTACATCCAGGCTAACAAATGCTGGTTAGCTAACGTATGTAGATGCCAGATTACGTTCGTAGATCTCAACAAACAAACGTGTCTTAGCTAACGTAAAATCAAAACATCCTCCCATGAACCAACATTTAAAGCCTTTTGGTCCGTTCCGAGCTCCCGTCATGAATGAAAAACACCCCTCACACCTCGTAGTGCAGGTCGTTGAGCTCCAGTCTCGTGTAATGTCGTCGATCGAACGACTCCATCGCCTTTCGTCCGCCGACCGCTAAAGCTAGCGTTAGCACGGCTAGTCCCAGCACCATAAACGCCACAACACCGTTTTTCAACGCCCCGTGAGACCCCGAGTCCTGGAGGGCGCGATCTGATTGGACGGCGTCTTTTGGGACGACGACTACGAGATTCGCTGGCAGAGACGAACGTGTGGTGGAGGGCGGAGTTGTTGTTGTTGTTGTTGTTGTATAAATGGTGGTGGTTGTTGTTGTGGTACTTGGTGGAGAAGAATTGCAGGAAGTAGTTGTTGTGGGAAGTGTAGTAGTTGTAGTAGTTGTAGTAGGTGGAATGGTTGTTGTTGTTTTTGGAGTTGTAGTTGTTGTTGTTGTTGGAGTAGGAGTAGTAGTTGTTGTTGTTGTTGGAGTAGGAGTCGTGGGAGTTGTAGTCGTAGTAGTGGGAGTTGTAGTCGTAGTAGTGGGAGTTGTAGTCGTAGTAGTGGGAGTTGTAGTTTCAGTAGTTCTTGCTATAGCCTCTGTGTTGCTAATAGCAACAGGAAGTAGCGTGGTGGAGCTCTGCGTTGGATGGGCGTTGTTCACAGGATGAGGCCTTACTCTCTTGGGCGGTTTATTCGGTTTTCGACCGGGTTTATTTGGCTTTTTCATGGCGGTTGTTGTTGTGGGAGAAGTTGTTGTTGTTGTTGTTGTTGTTGTTGTGGTGGCTGTTTCTGGAGGAACTGGAGCCATGGTGGCGAGGATGATGAAGGGTGGAAGAGGTGGTGTCGTCATGGTGGTCGTTGGTGGTGTTGTTGGCGCCAAAGTGGTGGTGGTGGTTGTTGGTGTCGTTGTTGTTGTTGTTGTTGTGGTACTCTGTGTGGTGGTGGGTTGTGTGGTTGGCGGTGTAGTTGGTGCTGGTGTAGTGGTGATGGTGATGGTGGTTGGTTCAGTGGTGGCGGTCGTTGTGGTCGAGGTTCTCAACGTGGTTGGATGAATCAAACCTGAGCGGGAAATTAGACACATTCGTTATTAATATGTTTTAAATTCAGTCAAACTAATATCTCTCTAACTGAAGGACTAACTGTTGGGAAAACACTGAAGGTCCTCTTCCAGCATGAGAGCAACATGCTAACAAAGGTATCCCAACTGTAGCTGTGAACATGACAGGATGTGTGATGACCTAGAAGAGCAACAGGACTGTTTGAGGCATATGATAGCTATGTGATTAACATGATGATTCAGCCTCTATGGAGAGAGACATATGACAAGCATGCTCATTTCTGACGTGGAGCTAATCTGAAGTAAAC